AGTCCAATGATCATTTTACTGATATGTATAAAGACTGCAAAGGTTGAAAAATCTTGAAGTCTGTATGTAATTGGAGGTAGTTTGAGGATTAAATATTTTATGCTTTTTAAGCTCAAAAAAGTGGGGTCGTATTATACATGAGATTGTATTTTATATGAATAAATACAGTAATTTTCCTTGGTAAATACAGGGTGAGTCAAAAGACCCAGGACATCCTTTCATTTCAGAAACAAGAAAATTACATATCTGAATACTCCAGAAGGTATTAAGTTAGGGGTCTTATCTTTGGAAAAACTTGCTCTTGATCCAGTATGGGAACTTTTAAGATGGCAGCCATGTTCTGGATATAGCCTAAAAGATAGGCCACCTCACTCATTACTTGCTGGAGTATTCATATTTCATTGTCCCCTTCCTTTTTGAAATAAAGGGGTGTCCTGTGACTTTTGACTCACCCTGTAGTKTCAGCCACTGTTGTGCTAACCTCTGTTAATTGCGATGTGAAGACAGTTCTGATGGCAAGGGCTAGCCTTTTCCATTTTGTCATGGGAAAATAGATTATTTTTCCTCCATCCATCCATTCATCCATCCATCCATCCATCCATCATCCATACATCATCCATCCACCCATCCATCCATCCATTCATCCATCCATCCATCCATCCATCCATCCATCCATCCATCTGCTTATTCCAAGTCCAGTTTCCAGACTGTGGAAACCACAGAGAGAAACAGAGTTAACACATCATGTTATGAAAATGACGTGAAGAAAATATCCATCACATATTAAATGCRTAGTGCTCCATTCCTCTTTTGTTTCTGCAGAGCTCGCTTCATTTCAGAAAGCCTATTGGTTTAATTATTTCTAATCAAAGTCAAAGACAGACTGGTCTTTGTGGTCATTTTGCTGACTTGTGAGGTAGCAGTGACATCTTTGCTTCATCTTTGAAATGATCCTACAGGCACTGTACATCTTTCCATTGGATCATCCTTCTGAAATGTTAGCTCAGTGAGGTCACGTTCCTCCAGAGATGCTTTACCAAGTTCACATCCAGATACTGCTGCTACCACTTCAGGACTTTCATGCAGCTTTCCTCAACATCGCCTTACTTGAGATGTAAACTTTGACCTCCAGTGTGAGGTTTTCCTTCGTGGCTGCTGTATACGGTCTGCATTCAGCTTTCTCACTATTCTGAAATGTTTCCCTGCAGCTATCTTAGATGAACATTCGCCATGTTTTATTGCAAAATTTGGGGACTATAGATGATTAAATGACCATTCAAGGGGAGATTTAGCACAAATGACCCAAAATGTAGTCTGGACAAAGCTGCATGTTGCATTGGCCTGTTCCCAAGAGGTGCTCATGTGGAAGCCGTATTTCTTCTTCATGTGTGTATCTTCATTAGGCTTTTCTCCATCACACACACACAGATGAAGACGTTTGGTACAGTTAACCAACCTTGAGGCATTTTATTCTGTTTTTGCTAAAAGGCCCATTTAAATATAGCAGAAATGTTCTATCCTTCCTTTGATCTGTGTCTCGACACAATCCTGTCTCCCAATTCCACCCACAGTTCTCTGTTTACCATCTACTGAGTCCTTAAATTGTCACTTCCTTTCATTTCAGTCACAGCTGGACTGCAGTGATGCTGTAAAATCAGTCGTACCAGTAAACACTCTAAATGGCTTCATAAAAAATAGAGTTCTTAAAATAATAGTCCAGATCTTTTGAAGTGAGGGTCTGTGGAAAGACTATGAACAATTATTTCTGAACCGCTTCAGTTTGGAGGAATGAGGAGCTGACARTTAATTTGGCCAAGAGCAGAGTTGAGTTTAACCATTTTCAAATATTCCAAATGTCCAAATTTGAAGACTTTTCCGAAGCGGCCGACAAATGCGTACTTCTTTTGCCACGATTTTAAGGACAGGTACCATGGATCTTCAAGTAAGAGTCCCTGCAGAACGTGTTTTCCTGTGGGCGGAGATGTCCCAAATCGTCATTGGTCGAGGTCTTAATGTGGGCGGAGACGTCCCTGCTCGTGACTGGCGGAGGTCTTGATGTGGGCGGAGATGGCCCAAGAGATGTGATTGGTCGGATTGACGGTGGGGTATGAGGCTGGAGGCAGCGGGGAGTAGCTTGGCCAAGTCGGGCAGGAAGAGTGTTTTTTTAGATTAATTCTAGTCATAAATTGAGAAAGGGAAGTGCTGCACAAAATTTGAATGTCATACATGTGAAAGGATGTGTAACAATATGRCTYGGTTAAAACATCCCTAACCAGCCTGTAAAAAAATATTGATTTTTAGCGATTTTTTTACAGGCTGGTTAGGGATGTTTTAACCAAGCCATATTGTCATGAATGACGTTCAAATTCCGTGCAGCTAGCTCTTTCCTTTCTCATGACTAAAATTAATCTTAAAAAAACAGGCTGCTTCCTGCCTGACTTGATCAAGCTACTCCCCGCTGCCTTCAGCCTCCTCAAACCCCGTCAATCCGACCAATCACGTCTCTTAGGCCATCTCCGCCCACATTGAAACCTCCGCCAATCTCGAGTATGGCTGTCTCCACCCACAGGACAAAACCTACTGCAGAGACCCCTTACTCTGGATCTTTCTCAGCCTACAATATCCCGTGATGCATTGTGGGCCGACGTAAAAATTTCAATCGGTTGTGTTGTTAATGCTTTTGTCCTTTGTAATAGACATGTTTTAAAATATTATTCTTGTCAGAAATCAAACGAGCGAAATAAACGTGCACCTACATATAAACGTGTCCCTTAGTTCTTCAAGCCTTTAAGCTAATTTTGTTCTGATATTAATAACGCTAAAATACTGATGTTTTTCTAATTTCCATCTCATTTTGTTTCTGGCTAGGCGACAGGACGTATGCTGGAGTACGGGCGGGATGCTAGACCATTCAAATTCAAAGCCACTTTTGTCCGGTCTTCGCGGTCCACCAAGGACCCGSCYCACCTAGACTGGGTAGGCTGGGTCCTTTGGAGGACAGCCATTATGTTTTCAAAAGACCCAATAAGGAGATAAACTGAGTTTAAAATTTAGACACCTCAGAGCCACAACACAGACAACAGGACATGAGCTCAGGGGTTTGCCATTAAATTTTATAAAGACAATTTGGCCTCAAAATAATGATTTTTGTCTGAATTCTAATTTTTCTTTCATTATTACCATGATTCTATAACAATGACTGCACTAAAACAAGCTGTAGGGATAAACTGTATTAATGATCTTTGCAGAAACTCATCCTCAGAAAGCGTCACCAGGTCCAAACGTCCTGAAGCCAGTAATATTCACAGCAGCCTCTGTGAGACTTCGACAGGCACTAATTGGCCAACGTTAGCACGAGAACAGTAAAGGTGGTGGGCACAATGTAAACATCTGCACAAACATCAGCATGATTGGCTTTTTTTGCGCGCGAGGACGGCGGCTCGGTGCAATTAGCGAAAGTTCAAAGCGGAGCCGGGTGCAAACGGAGCGTCTCGCGCAGTAATCACAGAGGAACCTCCGACCTCCGGAGCTGACCTGTTAATTAAACATGTCAGAGCGCTCTCAGCAGCTGGGCCAAGGTGCAGAGGAGGAGGAGAGGGGAGGTGGCAGCGGCGCTTCTACTTCCTCTGCCGCTTTTCTTATTATGAAGACGTAACTCCTCCCGCTGTCTGTTTCCTGATGAGGGATGTCAGTCTGCCGCGGCGAGGACAGCAGCCAAGCTCTGTGCATTATTCATGCTGCTTGTAAATTGGCCAGCTGTGGAGGCGCTCAGGAGAAACGCCACCCCAGCCCACCTCCTTCCCTTTTCTCACGCAGCGAGGGGGCTGCTGGKTTTCCAGCGGCGTCGTTAGGCACAAACCCCCGTTTCATATCGTTTCTCCATCATCTATAACKCTGCAGCCGTGCCTAGTTGTTGTGTTTTTCTCCGTATGTACTGTCCCACACTGAATTATACAATATGCACAGCCTCTATCCCACCTGTTCGCTCATGTATTGCCAAATACACACGTGTTGTGCTTTCCCCTTTCYTTCCTTCTTGTATAAATCTATGGAAGTGCCAGTGGGCCTAATGCAATTCTAAATTATTGGGACTTGGGTAACTCTTCTATATTGCTTCCAAGCCCAAACATATTTTGGACGAGAACCCAATAAAGCCTCGGTGATTTATGAGCCGTGCTTTCCTCTTCTGTATAGGTATCCAATCTGTTTTCTTTCTTTTTTTTCTTTCTTTTTTAAAGCAATCTTGAAAGGGGCATATCTGTAGAGTGATAAGGAGAATGTTGATGATGATTGTTTCTTCATTCAGCACAGGGACCAGAGGTGGAGGAGGGAAAAGAAAAAGAACAAATTGATGCCATTAAACTTAATGGAAATGTCGGCTGTGTGTGAGAGTGACATCCAAACAATAGCTCTGTGTTTTCTCTAAAAGGAAAGAGGGAGGTAAAAAAAATAAAAATCATCCCTCTTCTCTTCTCTCTTCTGTCTCTGCCTCCTYGCATATCTGCAGATAACAAATATGCCCCTGCGGTGAGTCTAAACGGCTTTATATTCATCCTGGGCGGAGCCTACGCGCGAGCCACCACCATCTACGACCCAGACAAAGGCAACATCAAGGCCGGGCCCAACATGAATCACTCTCGGCAGTTCTGCAGGTAAGCGATATTTTATGTTGGCAGCTTTATATGGGAAGTCTGGAACGTGTCAGAAAACAAAAATCTGCCCAAAATTCTGACATCAGCTTTGTAATAATGTAAAACACCTCCACTTTGATGTAACTGTGTAAAGAAAACAAATAATGCTAAAGCTGCTGCCAGTGACCGACAACACCACACCTGGGTCTCTCTTCCTGACTGCCAAAGTAAATGAGAAGCAGACTAAAAAATAAGCCTCARACAGCTGCTGCCTGAAAGCTATAAGTCAGATYTTACAACTTCTTGAACTGTGAGCAGCAGCAAACTGTGATGTCACGTGTAATTTCCAGGGTTCCTACAGCTTAGGGCAAGTTAAATCTAAGACTTTTTAATGCTTTTTAATGCTTTTTAATGCCACTTGAAAGGAAATTTAAGACCAACTTCACAATGAACACAAATGTGACCAAATATATATATACAGTATATATACTGTATATATATA